ATGTTCCAGATAGGCCGCATGTGGCTGGTCAACTGTCCTAAAGGCATTTACCAAAGGCAGGGCCCCATTGAACAACTTTGAGTAAGTTTGTCATTTTCTCCTCTGTAAACTGGGGAGATAGAGTGCATGTCATGGGTTGTGGGGAGGAATCTGAAGATGCAGGTGACTGGCTTTGAGGTGCTGGCCAGCATTCAGGAGAGCCTGAGCCCTGCCCCCAGCAGGATGTCACATCTTCCCCAGGGCTCCCACAAGTGCAGTGTCTTAGAGGCAGCCAGTCCCACATCAAAGGCTTGTTGGGGTGTCCAGGCACATCTTCTTCTGTAACTGCTAGAATGTGACCTCTATCCTTAAGCCAGGAAAGGACATGGGAGGCCTGAGCTGTGTGACAGAGGCCAAGCCCTGTCCTGAAAGTCCTGTGCAGGCTGGTGCTGCCGCCTCTCCTGGGCCATCGGAAGGTTATCCTGTGGTGGACTCTGGCCGTGGGGAAGGCTGGACCCTGCTGTAGGAGCCGCTCTGGATTTGGTTATCTGCCTGGGAACTAGGAGTGAGCCCATTGACACGGTGGGACTGTCCCTGATGGTGGTGACCCTGGGTGGTTTATCTATAAGGAATCGTGTTCCTTACCATCTTCCATGTCATTTCCCCAGCTCTCAGACCCGTAAAGTTAAAAATTTACAAAGTGGCATGTGCACACACAGTTGGAAAACTAAAGAGCACCAAAAGGCTTATAAGAAAAGATAATGCCCACCCAGGCCCCTTGCCACTTCCCGGGGCAGTGACTTTCAGCTCTCCACAGTGTTCCTGCTCCACCACCTTATCTGCATGTCCCCAGCAGCTCGACTGTGCTGCGCTTCTCACTCGGCCTGCCCTAGGCCTTTCTCCTCTTACAGCCCCCATTCGGCAGCGGCTCGGAGTTTGGGGAGGTAAGGCTCCCTGTTTAATGCCGATGGTGCAAACCGTTGGTGCCCCTGAAGTGAATGATATTCCTTCAGTCACTTTATGCCTGTTGTTTTCTCTTTTCTAAAAGCACCAACACCTTTGTCCCTTGCCTGTCTCTATTTCTTCCAGCTGCTTAAGTGCAGTTTACCCCGCCTTTGATCCATACCCCCTCCCCCAGAGGTGGCAGGCCCTGACTTCTCTTCCACAGGAAATCCCCTGTGGCCAGGTGTGCCACCATCCTCACTGTTGCCCTGTGGGCCCCATTTCCTGGAGTTGGTGGTTTCCTCCCTGTCCTTTGAGTCCCAGGTTCTGCGTCCTCATCCCTGCAGCTTCCTAAGAGAGCCCCTGGAGGCGACCTTTCCAAGGGCATGCACATCTGCACAGGTCTCTACTGAGCCTCCTGTCAGCCACCTGACAGTGGCTCAGGTGTGGAACCCCAGCATTCCTCAGAACTTGGAGGACATCTTTTCTTTTAGTTGCACCTTATGGCTGAAGCATGATGAATCTGACTCCACCTCTGCTGTAGGTGCCTGCTCACTCCCTCTGCGGGTGTGTAGGTGGTTTCGGGGTGATTTGCTGCTTTGCTCTGGGGTGGGGCTCCCTCTTCTCGGGCTGGACCGCTCGGGACCTCTCAGGGCCAGGTTCGCGCTCTTCCCTTGACTTCTCTCTGAACTTGGCTGGCTCCTCAAGAACCTTCTTGGTTCTTTCCCCTCATCTCTCTCCTCATGTTTGCATTTTACCTTCTGGAAAATTTCCTTAACTTTCTCTTTCAGTAGTTTTAAAAGTTTTTAATTTTAGTTATTTTACTTTTTAAATTTCTCATCTCTTTATATCGTTCTCCCAGGGCTCCTCTTTCAGAAGTCTTTACAGGGTGCTCTTCTTGTTTGTTGGATGCTGCGTGTCCACTCTTCCCAAGGATTCCGCTGTCCTGTGGTCATCCCTAGCTTTCTGGTTTCCTCCTATCATCTGTGATAGGTTCCAGTTCTCTTTTTTATTTTTGTTCATGTTTGAACATTCCCCCCGGAGCCAGGTGGTCAGTTGACATTTAGGGGCAAGGCGCTGGCTGGTGGGTTGGAGCTGGTGGGCTGCATGGTGGGGCACCTTTGTAGGGGACGCCCCCAGAGTCCATGCTGGTCTACCTCCGGCACGCTCAGCCTCTCAGTAACCAGGCTTCCAATGTCCAGTGTTTAGGAGAGACACTGGGAAGTGGGGAGGAGGTCAGTGAGCCCCAGGCATGGTGAGGGGGCCCCGTCCACTATGCAGCCAACCCCCTGTTTTTAGTCTAGAGCTGCACTTCCTCCCCGACCTGCTTCCCCACTGGGCTGGGGTTCTGCAGTCCTGAGCCTCACTAGCACCCCTTCTGCAGAAATATACCCCAAATGGGGCGGGGACTGGGATCTTGCTGCTTTGGTCCAGTCCACCCACTGGAGTCCTAAATTCAGACCTGCTTCCCACCCTCATGCTTGTAGTGTCTGGGCCTGGGCTTTGGGTTGGAGGCCACCTCCTTGAGCATCAGCCACTTGGGCCCTTGTAATAGTCCCCTCCCCTGTGAGGCCCCCACTGGCGCATTCCACAGTTCCGGGCCCTGCTGGTGTGCTCCTCTCTGGTTCTTGGTTTTGGCAGGCTCCTGCTTTGGCTACTGGTCATTGTAGGGATGTTGGCAGGGAAGAGAGATCTGCCCCGCCTGGTTATCAGCCCACCTGCCTCTCCTCCTTACAGGTTCCTGCACCCTGGGGAAAAAGCTAGAAAAGTGGGAGCTTCTCACAAGCGTGTGTGCGTGTGTGTGCAAGGGTACTTGTGAGCCCCGTGCCAGGCTCTGCAGGCACTGTGGTCATCAGCAGCCTTGGACAGAGCAAATGGTTAGGGAACAAGGCAGGAAACAGGGAGGTTAGCCAGAGGAAAAGTGACCTCAGTGTTAGCATGGGTCTCTGCCTCATGGATGGTCACTTGGGAAGTGGCTGGAGTGTGAGCCCCTGAGGTAGAGAGGACCCAGATGCCCATGCAGCTCAGGGGTTCAGTCCTGGAAGCTTCATTTAAAAGTGTGCTTGCTGCCTTACCTAGGGGAGCCAGCAGGCGTGTGGCTGCACACTCTGGGCTCTGCTCAGGTGGTCGGCTGCTCATTCCCTCCTCTGGGGGGGGGGGTTTTGATTGAGCCACTTGTGTCAGGCACTGTGCTTGGTCCATAGGTGAAATGGCAAGCAGTGTCTTGGGGAAGCTTCTAGTCCTGGACAGATGAAGCCTTTGGGCTCCAGGTGAGGTCTGCCTGTTCCCTGTAGGGCCTTTGGTCCTCCACCTTGTACCCCAGCCCCCCAGAGCCTTCCCTTCCTGGGCTCTGCTGCCTGACTGTGGGGTTTGAAGGTTTCTGTATGGTGCCCTAGGGGTGTGCACACTGGGTTCCGATGCTACCTTGGCTCAGTCAAGGGCGCCTCTCCTCACACTGTGGCGTTGATCTTGTAGCTCGTCTGCCTGACTTGGGGAAAGGGACTGGGTTGATAGCCCCATTGGTGACTAATCTGGAAGAAGGTCTGGGAACACCTTGCTGCAGTGGGGAGCTGCTGCGTGTGGTGCCTCCCTGGAATCCTGGTGCGGGCCATCCAGGAAGATGCCCTCTAGGCCCCGTCTTGTCCCAGGGTGTGGCTCCCTGTGGGGCTGGAGGACGGCTACACACACACTTGGAGCATTATCCCCACGCCAGTCCTCCTTCCGCTTTCAGGTCAAAGAGACTTGCACACTTAGCATCCGGACCTATCTTTTCCCTTCCGTGTATTTGCTAATTTACACTTGTTTAGTTTGAAAACCAAGCATTTTTCTGCTGCCAGCTGCCTTCTAGCTCCTCCGAGGCAGCCTCCCAGGCGGCTGGGGGAGGCTCCAGGCTTGTCTGGCCCACCCTGGCCTAGGATGGTAGAGGCTGTGGACTGTACCCCCGGCTCAGTCAGCAGGGATGGGCTGGATGGGGCCGGCTTGTGTAAGGAAAGGAGCCGCTTTCAGCAGCTTGTTAGCATTGTCAGGAACGTGTCAGATCAAGGACTGGATCCCTGTGTAAACCTCAGATACAACAAAGAGCATTCAGAAGGCAACGGCTTCCAGTCCCCTCTTGTGTGTCCCACATTTGGCTCTGCTCCCGGGCTTTCTGGACGCCCCCTTGGTGGTGCTGACCACGGGGTGCAAGGCTAGTCGCTCTCACCAGCTATGTGATGTGGTCACATTGGCAGCTGGGTGAGAGCGCAGACCAAGCCCTGGCCATCTAGTGATGGGGCAGCCTGGAGAGGAAGAAAGAAGGGAGAGGCTCCTTCAGGCCTCCTGCTCCTCCATCCGGCCTCCTGCAGCCTCTTGTTCACCCAGCATGGACACCATGCAAGGACCCAGGCCAGCCCCGCCCTGCCCCGCCTGGCCATGCACATCCAGGCCTCACCCTTGAGCATTCTCTGCAGGAGAACTCCCTCAGCTGCAGGAGAGGACATGGCTTCCAGTGAGACTAGGAATGGTACCGAGTCTGGTTTCATTTTTCAATCACGATGCGATTCTGACCTTGAATTCCACTTTCAAGGCTGTTCCAAGAAGACACAGTATGGAAGCAAGTGTAACTGACCTGTGCCCCCTCGGTCCCCAGCAGAACCTCCTGAATAACATGCCTGCTGGCCCCGCCCAGGCAGGAGGCTGCCAGTCACCCCGCAGGGTGCCCAGATGCATTCCACACCCCATTGGGCTTTTCTGCACCCTACACCCCGAGTAAGTGGTAATGAGCACCCCAATGTGCTGACTGACCCCAGCCCTTCTTGGTCCATTACAATAAAGTGGCTCTTTTCCCTTAGAACCATTTTTGTCAGGGTGTCTTTAATCAGTGGCTTCCCCAGGGACAGTATTTTTAGAAGTTGTATTTTTCACACTCTCCTTTTTCCCCCTTTGGAAATTCTCTTCCCCTGCCTAGTGAAACGGACTAATGAGATGCCAGGAGACTTGGGGCCGTGTTAATTGGAACAGGTACAGAGGAAGCGGCTCGTGCACACCTTCAGCTCCATCTTGTCTCACCTGCAATCCTCTCCCCTGTCTCTCCGGCACAGGTGGCACAGACGGCAGATGGCGTGGACGCTGACCTTTGGAAAGACGGCTTGTTCAAGTCCAAGGTTACCAGATACCTGTGTTTCACAAGATCGTTTTCCAAAGAAAATGTAAGTGTAGGGGTGGTTTCTATTTGTTGAGTGGGCATGGATAATTACACTCCTGTTTGGAATTTCCTCATTTTTTGTTTTGGTTTACTTTCATTGCTGTATTAATTTATCTGAGGTTTTAGGGAACTGGGTAGAATCGGCAGCCAGCGCTGGGTTTCATTTATCAACAGTATTATTAACCATGTACCCAAGTGCACAGTGAATTCCATTAAAGTGTGTTCTCAAAAGGAAGCCAGGAAATTTCTCTCACAGCTCTCATTTGCCTACTTTCCTTCAAGTGACAGATCACGGTAGTGTGAACATGACCGCCTTCCAGTGGAGCTGGAGTTGATGCTGGCCAGCAAATGGCAGCCCTACTCAAAGGGGACCTGCCCTACCTGCTTCTGGGTTCCCAAAGGGACTTCTCCTTGAGTCTCTGTGGACATTAGATAGTCCATTGTTTCCGTCGATAGGTATTCACTTGTGCAGATTTCTCTTAATATGCTGGGTTTTGTTACTTGGACCCATGAATTAGGAAACTTTAAATATCCCTACTAAGTCTTTTCCAATAAGGTGTTTCAATGGGCGGCTTAGAAAAGAGGGAAATAGTTCTGTTATTTCTCCCCTGCATCATGCCTGCCTTATTGGCCCCTCACCCAGTCCCTCAGTATTGCCATCCCCATAAAGACGGACACTGAGAGTCGGGTTTAAGGCTTGTCCAAGGCCACCCTCTTCCCTGGCCTCAGGTGGGGAGCAGCCCGATTCTCATTTTCAGTGGGGAAGTTCATTGCTGGCCCACATAGTTACTTCTCTTTCTAATGCAAATGGTTTTGGGTTTTTTTGGAAACATTTTACCAACTTATTTTTATAAACTTTGCTAAATAGTAATGTATGTTCATGGTTAAAAAAACAAAACCAAACCATAACAATGACTTCAAACACCGTCACCCAGAGGCCTGGGCAGGGAGGAGTCTTCCTCTCCATCACAGGCCCCAGCCTGGTGCCATGTCACGCACCTGGGTGTGTCCCTTCCAGTGTGGTCACAGGTGGGCCATCCCGCTCTCTGGCTTCCACCCTCTTCCACCCGTTCCTGTTCTTTGTTGGGAGAATTGCTCCTAATGTGTTCAGAACTTGGTTAGGTTTCCCCACCTTCAAGAGCAACATATTTGGTGGTTGTAATGTACTGAGCTTATAATGGAGTAGGGAAAGTCCTGGCACTAAGTGCTGGAAATCTTTTGAACACATTTTCAATACCAGGAAGGTAGCAGCTGAGCTGGGGGACGCCTCACCGTGAGCTGGCAGCCTGTCCACACGGCTGCCTCGGGCTCACTGTGGCCTGGGGGACACCACGGAGCAGGCCAGGAGGTGGCATTGCCTTTCCAGATGTTGGGCTCATGGGGCTGGGGTGGTGCCCATCCTAGCGCTTCCTCACTGCCCCCTGGGGTGCCCCTCCTGCCCTTTGTCCCTGGGGCTGACCTACACTCTTTTTGAAACTAGTTCTATTTTTAGCTTTTGTCACCTTTGTTCTGTCCGCCATCCCATCCGCTGCTTCCTGCAGGAGGTCAGTGTGCTACTGAGGCTTGGGGCTGCAAGGAAGGCTCCCGAGGACTTGAAGGAACACTGTTCATGCCCTCTGTCCCCTGCTGCTTTCCAGGTCTTCCTTCCTGGTCACAGCTCTGTGATCACTTTTGGTTCCTTGGACTTTGTCGAGTCCAACATGACAAAGAAGTCACAGGGCCTTGTTTGTTTTGGGTGTCTTGAGTAAGTGTCTTATAGAAAATGTGTTGCTTTCCTCACTGTTGGCTGGTCACCAAGCAGCTGTGTGTCAGTGCAACGGGTAGGGAGAGGCCGAGGGCAGCGGGAGCAGCCCCTACCCCGCCCCCAGCAGTGTGAGGAGCAGGTGCGTTTCATTTTTGGAAAAAGAATGAATGGGTCCTGTATGGGTTCCAAATGATCAAATCAATAGATTGAATTTGGTTTGGGATCAAATCTGGAGGTGGCAGGGCCACTTGCTGCCCCAGAGTGAGGCAGGAGCCGGGTGAGCTTTGGTCCTTACAGTCGTCCGTCTTGGTCCCGCAGTGTGGGCGAGGGCTGTGCAGAGTGCGGTTTTTACAGCCGTGCAGGAGGGTGTGGGATCTCCAGACTGGGCAGAGTCTTAATTAGGCGACTTGAGACTCCCAATGTAGGAGTTTTGGGAGCCTCCTCTGGAACCTAAATTCCTTTCCCCCAATAATGCTATTAATACAGAAACCTGGCTTTGGAGTGACATTGCTTCCTGGGGAAGGATCGAGATTAATTGCACTTTTCATGACCTGTACTTTCTGCATTACCTGTAATAATAATGTACATAGATTAGGTAGGGAGGATATTAAACAGAAGGATTTATGAACATTTGAATATTAAGTTGGTTATCTGTGGCTACCTTAAATGCAAGGTTGTCAAAAATAATTACAGTATACTAGCAAATACTGGCTACCAGAGACAATATAAATACCCTGAGTCAGTGCATATTGGGCTTTTGGCATGAATCATTTGCTCAACAAGGATTGGGAATACGTTCTTCATATTTATGAGGAGGAAATGAAAGAGAGCACGGGTGGGGGAGGGGAGAGGAACAAGCAAAATTAATGGTGTCGCAGACCTACCGTATTAAACCCTGAGCGGTGGCAGCCCCAGCCCTGTGTGCGGAGGGCCACTTGGGCTGCGGAAGCATCCACGGTGCAGCCTCCCATTTTGCATGCACAGAAGGATTTTCCCGGGCTCCTTTTAATGGCCGCACCACTGATGCTCTGGTTTTATGACCGGGGACATTTGTAGAGAGTGTGGAGGGCGAGGTCGCTAAGTGGTTTGCAGTTGACTTCTGGAAGCCCAACTTGTCAAGGAGGAGACATTTGAGAAGGATACTGATGAATTCCTATCCATCTACGGGGCAGCAAACATGCCCGGTTGTTAATTCCTCAATGCAGAAAGCAGTGACGACGTGGAAAAGCAACTGCCATGAAAAAAAATGATGATAGATTAGATTCTGGAAGCAGCTGATGTTCGTGAGTCAGGTTAACGGTTCAAACCCCTCCTGCGAGCTCAGAGATTTATTCCATGCGGCGCTGGCCCCTCTGCACTCACGGGCCGCTCTGTGCATTGTCTTCCTGAGGCCCAGCTCCCTGAGACCACATCGTGTTTGGGCTTGGTGAGCACGTGGTGCAGAGAGGGAGAAGGGCTTGGTGCTGGCAGGGCCATGAGAACACCGGTTGTAGGTTACACTAGCCACTTGACCTTCGTGTTTCAATTTGAAGAATTTATTTTATTTGTTCGCTTTTGATTTATGATGCATTTGTTAAACATATTTTCATGATTTTTATGATATGGTTTAGATTTGCCCTCTAAGCAAATCCAGTTTGATTTCTGACTCTCCATGACCCACTCAGTTGAAAGAAATGTATCAAAAAGAAAAAAAAACACATTAATTTATTCAGTGAATCACTAGTGAGCACCTCCCGTGAGCAGGCACCATGCTAGGCTGTGATCTGCCGTGGAGCAGAGGTCCCTGTGGTCCTTAAGCCCCAGGGGAGAGGCAGATACCAAGCACACAGCCTCACAAATACACGATTGTGATTGACATGAGGGAAAAGAACACCTCGAGAGAGCGCGGCTCAGATAGGGCGTGAGGATTCCCGCGTGGCTTCTCACAGGCCCAGCACTGTGCAGGCCGAGGTGGCCCTGCACACAGTGGGGCCGACACCCTTCCTCACTAAATGATGGGGACAGTAGCCTGAGAGGTTGCTGCCGAGGCCAAAGTCATGCGCTGACCACCTGGACATTGGTCCAGGGACACAGAGAAGTACACCGAGAGTGTGCTCATGCTGGGCTCGGGGGCAAGGCACGTCCAGGAAGTAGGCGGGCAGGGTGCATTGCTGGGATCCTAACAGGAGAGATTTGGGATGGGAACCCATCATTCCCTCCGTAACTGACTCTGACTAGAGTCAGGGGAACGAGGCTGTGGGTGACTCCGAGGATGTTAATGAACCTCAGTGGTGGTCCTGTGTGTTTAAGTTGTAGGGCAGATTTCTTTAGGGCTGTTTCCAGCATGAAGTACAGGCTGCAAGTGCCAGTGTACTCAAGAGCATTCTCTCCTGCAGTTACAGAATGGCGCTCTGTCTCAGAAAGATGTGTCCACACTGGTTACAGAAACCGCGCACTGTGGACCCCAAATACCAGCACTAAGCAGGAGCTTAAGAGGCCCTCGTGCATGTCGTGTTAGAAGACGTGCGGTGCTGAGGCAGCCGTGTTAGTTTATGATCCCTGGGATTTTAATAAATGTATCTAGCGACCGAAATGTGTGTCGGTAGCAGGCTGGTGATTGCTCAGGAGTCTGATGGGTTCCCTGTTCAGTTTAGGTACAGCTCATCCCGAGCAGGTGCCCAGGAATCTGCTGTTTCTAAAACCTACTGCCCTGAGATCTGGTGCTCAGGGCTGAGTGGCAGCCAGGCCCAGGGACTGGTGTGCACAGCTGCCCTCTGCTGGGTTCTGTCCACATCGTCTGCTGGGTGGCCCACCCGGCTCACCAAGGCCAGTCTGAGTGAATGGCTTTGAAGTTCTGCAGATGAAACTCCTTCCCGGCGGCCACCGAGTCCCTTCGTAACCGCTAGGGAACATTAAGTGTCACCTCCTCTAATTAACCTGCTGTCGTAAAGCTGCACAAGTCATTGTGTTAAATGTGCATCTTGAAGCCAAAATGGCGAACCTGCTGCAGGCGTGCTCAGCCTAATAGTCTGTGTCTCTCTTTCTTCCCAAGAGTCATTTGGGGAACGTGTTAGTGGACATGAAGCTCATTGACATCAAGGACACGCTGCCCGTGGGCTTCATCCCGATGCAGGAGACGGTGGACACACGTGAGTCTCCCTTTAGCGCTGCTTCTCATGCGAGTCTTCTTCCCCCAAGTAGCATCTGAGGGATTTTTTGTGTGCGTTTCTCTTTGGAAACATTTAGGAGGTCCTACTGTGTGCCCATGGACAGTGTCTGCTGCTTTCTCCATGCGTCCTCCTTGCTTCCCCAGGGCTGGCAGAGATCCTGGGAAGCCTGTAAGTAAGCAGAGGCCCCTCTCTCTCAGTGGGTGGCCCCGGAGCTGGCCTAGCCAGGTCAGAGTGCGGAGCTGATGACGGTCATGCTGCTGAAGCCAGGCTCCACCCAAGACCAGGAGCTCAAGAGGAGAATCAAAGATGCCCAGGGGATTCACGTGCAGCCCTGTGTCCACTGGGGGCTCGGAAAGCCAACAACACCAGTGAGAACCAGAATAACCCCGGGCAAGCACACACGGGAGCCGGCTTTGAATACCCTGACCACCAAGGAGCACTGAGCATCAGTGACCTGCTGATGGACAGAGCTGCCTCGGGACACTGGGCGCCTGTGGTCCGGTGGCGGTGGCGGTAGGCAGGGCTGGAAAGCTCTGGGCGCTGGAGTTTCCTCATTCTCATTGGGTGTGCCGCGCCCACCACGTGGAGCAGGGAAGGAGGAGCAGGCACACCCTCTCGGCCTCCCAGTTGGGCTCACTGTGGCCTGTTGTCATTTTCCTGCTGGCATTCTGTGTGGACCCACGGCGACTGTTGTTTCAGTTGAAGCAGGTGAACCTGCCGTTTGGCCTTACCTTCGTTCTCAGTGGCCTCACTTTTAACTCCAGGTCGTTTTTAGTGTCGTTGTCATGTTATACAAGCTACCCTCTCGCTGGCTGGTGTGGACTGTGTGTTTGCTATGCATTAGCCCCTGGGGTTTACCTCCCTGACAGCGTTTCATGTTCAAAAGACCCCTCTTTAGAGATCCCTATCATTACACCCATTTTGCGTATAAAAAATGAGTTCTAGTAAATATTTAGGGTTCAAAGAATTTAGCAAAGTCTCACACACACATTTAGAGGTGGAAACCCACGCAGTGCCGCAGCCTGCAATCCCAGCAGCTCAGGAGGCTGAGGCAGGAGGATGGCAAGTTTCAAGGCCAGCCTTAGCAACTTAGTGAGACCCCATGTAAAAATAAAGAATAAAAAGGGCTGGGGTTATAGCTCAGTGATAGAGCGCCCCTGGGTTCAGTCGCTAGTGCCTCCCACCACTGTGCACACAATATCAGGTGCACACTCCAGTCTGTCTCGGCCACTTTTAATCACAGTACCACTGTCTTGTACAGATAGATTTCATGTATTTATGCAGAGGGTTTTTTTTGTAACAACCTTATTAAGATACAGTTCAAACATCATTTAATTCACCCATTAAGTAGGATTCAGTGATTTTTAGAATATTTACAGACCACTCTCAATTTTATCACCACAAAGGAAAATCTGGACCCCTAGCCAAGGCTGTCCACTGCTTCCAGCCCTCGCCGCCCCCCCTGCACTCCTGGACGGCCGCTCAGATCTGCTTTCTGACTGATTTGCTTACCCTGTGTGTTTCCTGTGGGTGGAACGTTGTCTTGGGTGTCTGGCTTCTTTCCTCTGCGGGACGTGTTCAAGGCCGGAGCAGGTGGCACCATGGCCCCGAGCTCCAGCTTCCATTGGCAAACACACCACCCCACGGGTGTCCCGTTTGGGTTACTCACTCGGCTGCCGGTTTCGGTCGTTCCTACTTTGGGGCTGTTATGACAATGCTGCTGGGAACGTTCGTGCACAGGTTTTTGAATAGACACGTTTTCAGTTCTCTCAGGTCTGTGCCCAGTTGCTGAGTCACTGCATCTCTGTGCTTCACTTTCAAGGGGACACCAAGCTGTTTCTCAGGGCAGTGGCACCATTTCACGTTCCCATCAGCTGTGCGTGAAACTCTTGACTTCTCCACGTCTGACACACCTGTCCGTCAGTCCTTCTGTTTCCAGCCGTCTTCGTGGGGGCCACGTGAGGTTTCTTTGTGGTCTCGACTTCCATCTCCCTAGTTCCCGGGGTGCTGTCGGCCACTCATGTACCCGCTCTGCAGAGACATCCCTTACAATTCTTCGCTCACTTGGTAATGGGTTGTCTTTTATTATTGAGTTGTAAGAGTATTTTAAGTAGAAGTTTCTTATCAGAAGATGATTGGCAAAAATTTTCTACCATTTTGTGGTTTTTCTCTTCATGTTCTTGATGGTGCCCTTGAAACATGAACTCCACCTCTGCTGGAGCTCTGCTTATCTAGTGGCTGTGCTTTAGTGTCATAGAAGCCACTGCCCAATCCCACCCAGGTCACCAAGTTTTATGCCTAAGTTTTCTTCTAAGAGTTTATCATTTTAGCTCTTACACTTAGGTCTGATCATATTTAGCTAATTTTTATGAGCTAGGGTCCAGCTTTATTATATTGGACAGGTCTAGGTGTCCCTGCCCCATTTGTTGACAGGACTTCTCTTCTACATTGGATTGCGTCGGCACCCTATGGAGCGGCGCTGACCGTGAGTGCAGCGTGTTCTTTCTGGACCTGGTTCCATCCCCTAGGTCTCTGCACAGTCTCAATTACTGGAGCTTCGTAGCAAGTTTCGAGATGGGACACATGACTCTGTCACCTCTGTTCATTTTCAAGGTTGTTTTGGCCATTCTGGGTCTCTTGAGTGGCCACACGCATTTTGGGATTAGCTTGTCAGTTTCTGCAAGGAAGCCAGGGTGGTTGGCAGGGCTGGAGTTACTCTGTCGTGGCTGGGGTACGTGGGGTTCTAGAGGACGTCCTGTCCACAGTCGGCCTCCACTCTGACTCTCCAGGCCAGTCCCTTGTATCCCAGTGCTCAGACTCTCTGCAGACCCCACCTGTCTCCCCTCGGTGCCCCTTTCTCTCGGGGCTCCAGGAGTTTGGGTTGCCGTTCCCCTTGCCCGCAGTTCCCTTTCCTCCACTTGAAAAGTCCACACCCTGAGTGAGCATCAGGGTGCCCGCTGCAGGAAACCGCCTCTGATCCTAGATCCCACTTGGACGGAAGCCAGCGCCCCCTCCACACAGCCAGGGTCAGGCACGGCAGGCTCCAGCAGGAGAGATGGTGACCAGCACCGTCCCTCAGGAAGCACGCTCCTGTGGAGGGCCGTGGTCTGCCTCCTCTGCTGCCGTGCACACACCTGGCACAGCGCAGCTTGCTGAGGCTGGGGAGAGGCGGGCCAAGGCCAGCAGCGTGGCAGGAGTGGAAGGAGAGCCATTGGTTCCACCTCCCAGTTCCCGCCCTCACCTCTGTTGGGACAAATGGCCACATGGTGTAGGTGGAGGACCCCTGACTCTGGAGTCTGTCTCACTGACTGGACAGACTGGCTCTGTCCTTGAAGTTGTGGGCTCCAGGTAGATCCTTCTCCCTCCTGGGCCTCAGTTAAAACCTCCCTGCCACAGAGAAGGATGTGAACTGACTCCGTGATGCTGGTTGATGCATGACAGCCACGCACGTGCCTCCCTGCCTTTGCCACTCGTCTGTTTCTTTAGGACAGATCATATTTAGATCATCTCTTAATCACCTGAGGTACCCGCCTGTTTTGTTAGCTTTTGGATCACTGTGACCAAAAGACCTAATGAGAACAACAGAGGAGGAAAAGTCTCAGACTATGGTCGGTCGACCCTGGCCCTGGGCCCCGGGTGAGGCAGAACATCAGAGTCTGTGGCAAAGGAAGGCAGCTCAGGACATGGCACCAGGAAGCAGAGAGCTCCACTCACCAGGACAATATATGAACCCCGAGGGCACACCCCAGTGATCTGCTTCCTCCAGCCACCCCCTACCTGCCCACAGTGACCACCAGTTCAACCTACCAGTGGGGGAGTCCACTGATGAGGTTGAGCTCTCCTCAGCTAAGCCTTCTACTCCTGAAGATTCTTGTGTTGTCACCCACAGAAGCCTTGGGGGCCCTCCTAGCTGAACTACCGCACCTCCCCACGGGGCGCTTTGCATGCAGCGTGGCCTCGGGGAAGGTGAGCTTTGTTGCTTTCTGTTGCCAGGTGGACGTCCAGAACCCCCATCCACTGTTCCACTGGTGATGTGAGCTTGGGCTGGGTTTCCACAGGCCTGTGTCAGCGTAGGCTTTCAGTTTTTTATTGAGTTTTACTATTTTAATTGTAGCGACCTCACTGCATTCCTCACTGGCGAGCTGGACGCTTCAGAGGGGTCGGCTTATTGCTTTTGCTCGGTCTCGTGTGAAGCAACAGCCTATAGACTGAGACTGACTCACAGACGGGTACAATTCCCACTTCTCCCCGGCTCTTTTTAGTTTCACCATTTGCTCTGGCTTTCATTTTTGACAAGGAGTTGACCTACAATGTCTCTGTGTTGACACACTACAGAGCCACAAGGGTTCCCTATCCTGCGTTTTCCTCTTACTGAGCCAGCACATTGGGGGGCCCAGGGCACAGCTCCATCAGAGCCCATGGTCTGGCGATGGGGGGCCAGGTGTCCTATCAGGGACATCTGTCCCCATGTCTGGGCTGCATTGGGCATTGTCCAGCCATGGACATTCTGGGGTCAGGACCCAGGTCTCCCTCGGTGCCTTATTGCATAAGAGGCTCGGTCAAGGGAGCCTCTTCACTTCCCATCATGGGGCTACTTCCTGGAGCTCTGCCCAGGGGACAGGAGAGCTTTATGGTCAGTCCTGTGTCGTGTGAGTGTATTCAAGGCCCTGATTTCATAAAGTCAGCCAAACAGACGAGACTCCTGTAATTAATTTAAAACACAGTTTGTTGCAGTCATACAGCACTTAAAAACCGGAAGAGTGTTTGTTTAGTAAAGTGCTGTGTACTTTCTCTGTGTTCATTAGCATGACTGAACACATTTCTATTGACTATGTAGAATATGTTTACTTAAAATTAGGCCTGCTTCAGCATGTGAGCAAGCGGCTCCTCCTCACCCCATACCGCCGCAGCCAGGAAGGGAGCACGGTGAGGAGCCGAGTGGCAGCCGCCCGTAGGACACCTGCACTTGGGGTGCCCCTGGGGAGTGGCCTCCCCTCATGTTCTCAAAGGCTGACCTTGGCAGCTGACAGATTTTGAAGGTGCAGGGTTGTGTGACCCCCAGCCCAGGGCACCATTCCTGCCTTGCTGGACACAGTGCTCTGGGTCTGGATTCGGGAGGCTGTTTGGCTTCCAGGTCTGACCCAGCCCTCGGCTTCTGCACCTGTGGAAGGAACCACAGGAGTTTCAATCTAGCTCTTTTTAAAAAAAACTCCCCCTCATCCAAAAAACTAACAGCCACCAAGCAGCACCATGGCTGCACAGGGCAGGACCCCCTCCCCATCTGTTCCCAAGTTCGAATGTGCTGTCAATGCAGATTTCCTGCCCCAGAACTGGACGGCCTGAAGGTCAATACCAAGCGCAGATGCTATGCTTACACCGGGACCGACTGTGATTTTGATGGAATTTTCCTTGTGGTTTATCTTTACTGAAGCCTCCTGTGTTCCAGGGCAGGGCAGGTGAATGGTACTTGTCACCACTCACAGCCACCTGATGTCCCCAGTAGGTTGGGCTTCGCCAGCTCCCTCCCACAGATGATGAAACAGGGCTCAGAGGATGTAAGGGTGCTCCTAAGGCCACAGAGCCACAGCACAGCAGTGGCAGAAGTCAACCAAATCCAGCCTCCTCACGGGCTGTCTGGAACCCGTGTTCAGAAGCACAAATGAGCAGCCTCACACTGCATCGGCCACCCAGGGCTGCAAGGGCACCACCGTGCTGCGCCAAGACCTGAAAAGTGAGAGGAAAGAATTGCCAGCTGTGTCCTTCCTTTCCCATAAAAGGGAAGACCGAATAGTTGACGAAGAAAGGTTGTTTTTATGTAGAAGACCTGCAGCTAGCCAGCGCAGAGGAAGAGCAGCGTCAGAAGGCACCATTGGGAAACCCTCAGAGGTCTTAGCAGTAGCACCTGGTGATAAGGAAATGGCTTCCAGAGCTGCACTTGGGGACTCTGTGAGCAGAGTCCCCAGCAAAACTGTGGAAACATCCCCAAGATGCAACACTGAAGGGGACACATACTGCCTGTGAGGTGGCCTCTCCTGAAGGTTGGCCTGAGCCCAGTCCAGCCTTCAGCCCCGTCATCTCACAGCAATGGGAGGGACAGCCCATCTTTCTGGGCTGCCCATGCCCTGAAGAAAAGGATCATGGGCAGGCCTGTGGAGCACAAAAGGGACCAGGGCACCTGTGACCAAATGTGATGCACAGACATGGTCTGGAGCAGGATCCAGAACAGCCAACGGTGCAGCTTGAACATGGGCCCCATCGGCTGCCACGGGAGCCTGGCTGATTTCATCAGGAGTGGTCATGGCATGTGGTCCTGTAGAAAAGAGGCATCTGATTAAATGCCTGCCAAGATGATGATATGGGACAGGATGTGGCATCAGGGACTCATTTTGAAGATTCAGCTAGACTTAGGGTGGCCGAAAGTTGGAACTGGCCTGTCCGTGGTCAGCAGCATGAAGCCGAGTGACGAGGCACAGGGGTTCTTCCTGCGATTCCCTCCACTCTGGGTGGGTTCCAGGATGTCTATCATAAAATGTGAGCAAGAGAACCCTGTGTGGTGGAATGCACAGGTGCCTGGCCTCCCCGGTGGGCCTCTGCAGATGGAGGTCCTGGCCTTCAGCTGCCCCAGGCCGGGCACATCTGGGGTCAGGTCCTGGGTGTGGGGCAGTGTGACTGTGCACTTGTTTGTCATAGCCTGTGGCCCCGGGAAGGCAGGGTGGAGTTGTCCATCCTGCCGCCCGGTAAGATGCACAGAGACCAAGGGGGCGTCTCTGCAAAACTCATGTCTTCTCTGTTATCCTTTCCTTTAGAGGAGGTGGCTTTTAGAAAGAAGAGGCTGTGCATCAAATTCATCCCCCGGGATTCCACTGAAGCTGCCATCTGTGACATTCGGATCATGGGCCGGACCAAGCAGGCCCCTCCTCAGTACACTTTTATTGGGTAAGTTTATAACACAGGTGTCATCTGCTGCTGTCCGTTGTGAGTGCTCGGACACTCCTCGGGTGAGGCCCTCCCAGCCCGGGCCCTCGTTCTGCCCTCCTGCTGTGCTGCAGCTGTGCAGCTTGGCAGGCCTTTGGCCTCCCTGTGCCTCGCCTGCTGCGGACTGTCGCATCTGGACCTCCCTTTCCCTGTCCTGTGCAGCCACCCAGGACCCCTGATCCCTCTGCAGATTTATGGTGTGAGAGCAGGCCCTGTGTGTACAGAGGCAAGGGGAAGACCCCGTCCTCACCACACAACAAACAAGAAAAGAGATGAGATGATTTCAGAGAGTCAAGAAAACGGGACTCGGTGAGGCATGGGCTGCTTCAGTGAGGGGGTCAGGACAGCAGCATTGCACCAGAGACTCAGTGTCAAAGAGTCCAGCCGTGGACATGAGCAGACCGAGCCCACGGGTGGAGCCGGCAAGCTGTGGGACTGAGCGTCTGTGTTCCGGGAACAGAAGCATCCCTGTGTGGCCGGAGCAGACATGGAGGGACAGGGTGTGGGGGCTGTGAGGGAAGCCATCTGCAGGGCCTCCAGGACGTAGTGGCTGTCTGGGTTTTATCCCAGTGGGAAGCTGTCAGATGGTCTGAGTCAGGACGAAACACAAGTAGTAGCCCTGATAATTCACTGTGCAGTTTTGGGCCAGCTGTTTGTCTTTGCTGATGAGCAGAGAACTGCCAGGGCCAGGGCCAGGCTGTGTCAGGTTCACCCACAGCTGCAGCAACAGGCCTGGCCCCAGAGCCACGTCATAAATACCAACTCTCATGAAATTGCAGGTTTCACTCTGGGCTCTTTTTGTTGTTGTTTGTGGTACCGGGGATTAAACCCAGGGGCTCTCGGCCACTGAGCCACATCCCCAGCCCTATTTTGTATTTTATTTAGAGACAGGGTCTCACTGAGTTGCTTAGCGCCTCACCATTACTGAGGCTGGCTTTGAACTCTCCATCCTCCTGCCTCAGCCTCCTGAGCCACTGAGATTACTGGCATGTGCCACCGTGCCCAGGTTTGGGCTCTTTTGATTGTGAGTGACAGGAAACCCAACCCAGGTAGCTTGAGCAAAAGGAAGAATTTGTTGCCTGACACAGCAGAAGAGCTCGGGGCAGATTGGCTTCAGTGGTCAGAGGGTTTCCCAGGATGCCCAGGATGTCTTCCTCCTTGCTTAGAGTCCTCTGGAGGACCCCATCTGATACCTGACTCTGGGGGAAGCATCAGGGTGTATGCCTTCACCCACGTTCCTGGTAGTTCACACAGAAGCTCTGGAGTTCAGTCTCGTTGTCTGACTGATCTAACTAGGGTCTGGGGCACCCTTACCTGGACACTGGTATCAGGAAGATGCCATTCTTTGATGGCCCAGGCTGAACAGGGTCAGCTCTACTGGAACTCAAGGATGAAAAGCGAGGGGGTGTCTGCCCCCGACCTGGGAGGGGAGGGGAGGGCCGGCAAGGGGAGGAAATAGGTGCTAGACGTCCAGAAGGTGGACGTGTGCTGTGCTCCATCAGTGGAAGGGGGTCTCGGGAGCCGTGTGCAGTCAAGGGTTGGCTCTTGGGCCCCATGCTGCTGCCCCTGGCCAGGCACTCCTGTCACTGAGGGAGCACCCTCCACCTGGCCGAGGTCAGCCCCAGGTGGTCTGTACTCTGTCTTGCTCTTGTTCATTTGAGCCCAGAGCTGCCGTCACTCTCTAAGCAGGGCCTTCCCTCCCGCAGACGTGGCATGGCCACAGCCACAGAGGTGGCCGTGCGTGCTGCCATGTGCGTGAGCAGCACTTTCTTCACTCTTCAGCTGGGGACACCTATGCTCGGGATCCAGGCTTTGTGGTTCTTAGCAGGAACTCGAGCTGGGAGTGTAGCTGCGAGGTGAGCTCTGACTTAGCACGCACGAGCTCTGGATTCAGTCCCAGCACCAACACATAGACAGACAGACAGACAAAAACAAATGGAACTGTGATGGTTCCTTTCTTTATACTCTCAGACTTCCTGTTTGGCAGCAAGGTTTAATTACAGCGGTAGGATTGCAGGAGTAAGAACTAGGTACAGGAATAACACAGGTCGGTACCTGCGTGCAGTTACTTGCAAGTGGTAGAAACCAACAATTTTGTAATGAACTTTCAAAATCTAATTTTAGTATTTTTAATTACCAACTATGCTACTGTAAGAAGATGTAATTTTAACCAATTGAAACAATTCTGAAGAATAGGTTTTTACTAATATTTGTCTTGATAATCAAAACTAGAGTCTTTTCCCCTATCATTTTGAAAATATCGTTAAAGTGTAGTTTCATTTCATCTTGGGCCAAAAATTCTTTCCCAGGGGAAGACAATTCTAATGTTAGTTTTAAGTAAGGGAAGAGAACTCAGTGTTCAGAACAGAGTCACTTATTTTTTTTTTTTTACTATTTTTTTTAGTTGTAGTTGGTCACAATATCTTTATTTTATTTATTTATTTTATGTGATGTTGGGATGGAACCTAGTGCCTCACACGTGCTAGGCAAGCGCTGTATTGCTGAGCCACAACCCCAGCCCCAGAGTCACTTATTTTTCAAAATAGGCACAGTTTCTGTGTGGCTTCATAAGGCGCGGGGCCATCCACCCAGGAGGCACAAACCTCACGTTCAAGAAGGCTTTCGCAAAACCCCTGAGGATGGGGCCCCGATGCAGTGAGATCATTGCAACTGAATGAAATTAGAATTGAGGTTCAGAATAGTTGTGGGGTGCACTGAAAACTTTACCAAAAATATCTACAGAATATTTTTTTTCATGTTTTGAAGAGGTGGTCTTCCTCTCTTTCTGGTCCCAAAGATGGTCCTGTCTCCTGCAGGGCAATGGAGAAGTTGGATGTGACTGAAATAGTACTGGTGAAGTTCCCAAGGGTGCACCTGTCTCATAAGCATGGCCTTGTGGTGTGGGCTGGGCCACTGTGGCTGTCACACTAGTAGCAGGAAATGCCGTGTGCATGTCCACTCTAGTGGTGGCTTGTGGGGCATATGCTTCGGGTTTTGTGGTTTGAAGTCATCTTCTCAGCTGATCTTGGGGTGAAGCCAATGCACGTGACATCCGCTGCAAGGGGTTGCCTCCTGAAACTGGGGTGCATCGTAGGGTGGGTGGGGAGATCCCTCTCCTGGCTAAAACCCAGGCGTGCTCGTCCACGGGACTACTCTTCCATCAGCCTCACCCTAACAGGGGGATTTCCTAGGGGTTGTCACAAAGCCACTGATCCTGGGAGGGTAAAATAGAAAGCAGTTCAGAGCTGAGAGGCGAGGAAGACACAGCTGTGGTGGGAAGCCAGCCCAGACGGGTAAGACGGCCCTGCAGCACAGGTGCTCTCGTTGTGAGGCCCAGGGCAGAAGGTGCAGTGATGGACCTGTCACTTGGGCAAGAACTGACCTCTGGGGTTTGAGGCAATGACTGGTTTGCTTTGCGGCTCAGGTTCGTGCTCCAGGCCAAACAGCGCCATGAAGATTTCTCTTTTCTCCTGCAGGGAACTGAACAGCATGGGGATCTGGTATCGAATGGGCAGAGTGCCTAGAAATCACGACTCATCTCAACCCACAACACCCTCGCAGTCCTCGGCCGCCTCCACCCCAGCCCCCAACCTCCCCAGGTAAGGCCTGGTCGGGTGTCCGATGTGCTTGCTCACATGGTCTTGGGTTCTGAGGCATGTTTAAAACACACCTGCTTAACGTCTGATGAAATAGTGCACGGTGTCACTGAGCACTTGTGCAAGTTTAGTTTAAACTTGTGCCTCTAGAGGAGATTTTTTAAAAAGCCCATTTAGAAATCTGTGCATGACATGAATGGAAAGGCCTTCCTGTCTCCCGTGCACATGATGCACGTATGTGACTGAAATTGTCTTTCTGTTTGAAGGAACTCAAAAGATGTGCAGACATTGGGCGTGGTGACCACATGGCTGGAGTCACCTGCCTCCAAAGGGCAGCTTCTCTTCCTCAGCCGGCCGGTCCTCTTCGACCCAGGAGGGCCGGTTGGCAATTCTGTTCATTTTCATGTTGTTCCTTCCCAGTGAGCCCCAGACTGAGAAGTGGGTACCTTGGATTTTAGAGGCAAGTGGGAAGCTTCTCAGGAGATGGTGCTGATTTTAATAGTTGACCCACAGAGACACGTGGTTAATGGAACTGGGTGCTCTGCAGCTGGTTTCAGTCCCAAAAGATGGAGTGATTCTCTCCACACTTTTTGCAAAAAGCAGAGAATAAACAGAGCCGCATCAGACACAACCCCTTTGCATCACTAGAAGTAAATAGTTTGAGGGCCGCGAACAAACAGCCGTGGCGACTAGGATTGCAGCAGTGGGTAAAGCAAGGAAGGTTGGTGACACGGCATCTGGGGGCCGACATAACAAAGGAGGTTGCCGCAGACAGCACGCGGGGTGAGTGCCGAGCAGAGCCTTGTCGCAGCAGAGCAAAACAGTGTCGGGTGGGGGGCGTCCTCCTGGGCTCCACACCACCCCCCGCCCCACCAGTTCCCCCCTCTGCTGCTGTTCCTCCATGCTGGGCCACTGTAAGGAACCCCTCAGCTCCAAGGACACTCTTGTCTTCCTCCAGTTTCATCAACGAAGGTCGGAATTTAAACTCGACTACCCCTGAACTGCCTGAAGCTCTGGGAGCAGTCTGCAGTGTCCTTGGTACAAGCAGGTGTGGAGAGCTAGTGAGCTTCCCAGAGCTGCAGGCTGAGCAGCCACGTCTCCCCCTGCTCGGGAGTGCGAGGCTGGCAGTACTTGTTCCTTACTTTCTGGCTGGCCAACAGCATTGTCATAGCTCTGTCCTGGAGGGCACTGCTGAGGGTCACCATCAGCAGAGCTCAGGCCAGCTGAGGCCCATACCTGTGCCAGGGATGTCATCTCACTCCGTCACCTGGATGAGAGTTCATGCTTGATGTCGGCTCCAGTTTGGGCTCCTTGTAGGGGTTGGAGAGCCCCAGGGTTCTGTGGCTCTGAGGTACTTAGAGTGACCCCTTGTTGGCATCACAGGGCCTGGAAGGGCCCAGGCTGAGCACCACCTCAGGACAGGGGTTAAACTGCTGGATAAACAAGGAGCACCAGAGCTCCCAGGTGATGTGGGGACAGTGCTGTCCCACAGCAGGGGGGCAGGGTCACTGGCAACCAAAGCAGGTGGCCCTGGACACCCGGCCACTGGGGCCAGGCAGAGTTGTAGGGTAGCACATCAGAACAAAGTGTTTATAAGGCTTATATATTTTATGACCTCTGTTGTACAGTTTATGGTTTACAATGGCTGCAAGGAAATTGGATCAGTTTTGTTTTACTTGCCAAATAAAACAAACGTCAAAATAGTCAATATAAAATGTATTCTAATTTGGCTGAGTTAAGTCCGCCCGTGTGCAGTAGGGTCGTTGAAGGTGCGTTAATGCTTCCAGGTGAAAACCACTGTCTGTGCCACACTGTCCTCTCTTGCCGTGTGGCAATATGCAGGTGGTGGGCACAGCTTCGGGTGCCTCTTGATCCATTAGAGGTTCTTCCTTTTATGGGGCTTGGGGGTGTTTGGGATTGTGTTTTCCTATCTGATATCTTTGACTTGAAAACAAATGAAATGCCGAAGACTCAGGTGGGTGTGGTGCAATGTTTGCAGCAACCTACAGGGTAAGGGCAGAGCTCCTCTGTAGACTCTGGGCCTCCTCGTCCAGCTCCCGGGTTTCCTGCCTCTGTCTCCCAGCCCCCAGGCCCACTGGGCAGCCTCCTCTTGCTGTCCTATTCTGGGCCTCTGTGCATCGTGTGCCCTGCACCCCCGCCCTGGGTCTCCTCTCCCAGGAAGCTTTCCCTGAGCCCCTGGGCTGGGCTCTGCTCTTTCATGCTGGGCTGTGCTTGTGCCCCTCTGGGGCAGGGGCGGGAACCGGGTCTTGTCCCTCATTATGTCCCCAGCACGCTGCTGGATTCTGGCACAAATTCACAAGGACCCTGTTCTGTAGCCCCTCCAGATGACTCCCCAGTCCTTGGGCACTGTAGGGTTTTTTCGATTGCAAGAGAAATGCAGCTTTGTAGAAAATTGGCAGAATGTAGAAAATAATGGAAAAACAAATTCCATTTCCAGTGAGTGAATGCTCATAACCTTTTGTTGTGTTTTCTTCAGGACCTTTTTTCTGTGTGCTTTTTACATAGGTGATGATATAGCATGTAATAGCAAGCTGGTGGCTCACTCTGTTTTCTCGTGGCCTATTAAGCCACAAACACTAGAAACACTTCTTCCAGTGTGGTCTTTGTGTGGACGCCGCCTCCGGATCAAATGCTGCTGCCTGGGCTGCAGGAGAGCGGTGGCACAGCGCCCTCTACTGACCAACCAGGAGGTGGCAGGGAGCAGCAGGTGCCAGTCATTCTCCCCCCATCCCTGGGCGGGAAGGAAGAGGCTGGGGTCCCTAGACAACGTGCTGCCCTCATCTCAAAAACAACAGTGTGCTCTGCCTTCATTTCTTTTGTCATCACTTAGATTTCAAAGAATCCCCAGTTGTTCTGAGGGTGAGCTGTCACCCCCAACTTTATTTCAAACAAAAGGGGCATTTGGTGGATCTTTTCACAGATGACTGGCCATCACCTGAGCACCTCCTGTCCTAGCAGAGCTGCCTTCTCTTTCCAGAGGCAGACATTGCCCCTGGGAACAAAAGCTTCCCATATTGCAGAAAGTGCTCATGGTGAAACCAGGTACGAGTTGCCTCCCAGCACGGGCAAGTCCCTGGAGGGCCAGGGTGCTTCTTGTCCGTATCCAGTGAATCACATGCTGTGTTTGATGTAGTTCATGTCAGAAGGGGGCGTCAAATGGCTCCACAGGGTTCCTCTTCCTGTGCAGGGAGTCAGCTCACACACAAGCATCTCTGCACACAGCAGACAGGGAAGACGGGCAGGCTGCTCCCAGGACTTGAGCCTGTGTCTTGGCCGGGCAGAGGCGCTCAGTCCTCTGCCTGCTCACTTCGTACACATTGACCAGCAGGGTGGAGCTGGCCTTGGAGCGTCCTGCCTGCCCACCCCTCTCTGGGCTGGCTTGGGCCCCGCGAGCCTCCGTGGTTTTCTGATTCTGCTCAGTGCTGCCGCCTTGGGGAGGGTGTGCCCACAGAGAAAGCACCTTTCCAGCTTCACCCGAGCAACACACCACCCCCTCTTACAGTAGGGTCTTTCATTCGATTCTGCTGGAAAGGGACTTCTTCTGCTTTTAGGATGAAGATTTGGAAAAGCTCAAGGAGGCAGAGGATCTAAAGCAGTTCAAGTACCAGGAGCCCCCAAATGTGGACAGATGAACGGTTTTGTGTCACCTGGAAGGAGATGCTGGTGGGCCGCTGCTCCTGGCCTGCTAAGCAGTGGAGTCAGCGACTTGATAAAGACATAGAGACATGGAGCTCAGACCCACAGATGGCAAGGACTCGTTAGGGAGAACTGATGTGTGGATGACAAAACGAACACACCACATCTCCACAGCCCCTTGCCCTGGGGACCAGGAGATGAAAGGTGAAGGCACCCATAGAGGTGCCCCTGAGTCCCCATAGTCCACGGCACAGGAGACTGGACTGGGCCCAGCAGTGTGTGTGTGCAGTTTGGCTAGGGAAGCAGCCTGCCATGCCCAGCAGGGGATGCCCGGAGGCCATGCCCCCGTCACACCTTTCAGGTACATAGGGAGTCACCCACAGCCACACAGACCACCTAAAAGTCACTTGAGTGCAGTGCTGTGCTCTGACCTGGGTCGGCCACAAGCATCTGGCTTTGAGGTCCATGTGGCCAGTGTGGAATTTCTGGGTGGGGCTGGAGAGGGGGCCGCTGGGAGCACAGAAGGCAAGGTAGGGTCAGGTGGCTTGGGTTACAAGAAGGCAGATTTGGACTCAGCTTTTTAAAAAATTGAAAAGTGAAATTTACCAACGGTGGAGATTCTGTGGCATTGAAGAAGCTCCCTGGGGGTCGAAAGCTCCCTGCTGCCTGGGATGGCCAAACAACGTCAGATTTTCAGACCTCGGTGACAACTGGGGTCATGGTGCTTCTCAAGCTGGTTTAAAAAATGTGCCACCTTCCCCGTCCCAAGAGCAGCACTGAAGATGGCCAGTGGACAGGGAGGACACACAGTGGGCGTTGGCTGCAGAGCTTAGCCTGAGCGGCTGCAGCCACCACCCTTCCTGCTTGCAGCACCGATGACAGGGGAGGAGGCTGGCATGAGGCAGGTGCTGCTGTGGCCTCATCCCCAGGAGGGCCCGTGTCTCAACCCAGCGCTGGCACCCGTGAGCTGACGAGAACGGTCCTGTCCCCTGCAGAGTCTATCTGGAACGAGTGATCTGGACCCCAGACGTCTAGAACTTCCAGATACTTAATGCCAGGTGGCCCTTGGGTTGGGCTGCCCTGGAAGGCCTGGCCTTGTGGCTCCAGCAGCGGCAGTCCACCCTCCCGTCACCAGAGTGTGGAGTCACCTGCTCTGTGGTCCTGAAAGAGAAGAGCTTCCGTGACCCCAGGCCCTGGGGTTGTGTGCAATTCCTCTGCCCCTTGCCTGGCACCACCCTCCTCGGGAGAAAGGCCAGCTTCACACTGGAAGCCACCAGCACACCCTGGTCCCCAGCCTCCCCTCGAGTGCAGCCTCCGGGGAGCCTCACCCAAGAGGTAGTTGTAAG